TCTCTCTCTCTCTCTCTCTCTCTCTCTCTCTCTCTCTCTCTCTCTCTCTGTCGTTTATTTTAGGCTCTTGTAATTCAATATTTACGTTATATTTAATTGCGCAATATTGTGTTTGACATTTATAACGACATTAAGAAGGAAAATTATTTTTTCAGACTAAAAAAGCAACAGTATTTAAGAATTTATTTCGAAAGAACGACCGAATGAATATGTGTGCATTTTATATAAGTAATTGAGTAATATATTTACATTCAAATAAATTTAGTTTTATTTTTTTATAATGCCACAACCTACGCACTTGCCCTGCTTTGAATTTTGTTTTCCTATCTAATGTCTTATTTCACCTTCACTTACTTTCATACACTATCTATGCATTCATTTCATAACTTCCTCTATTTGACCTCCCATACTTAATTCAATACACTAAAATTACATATTCAAAATTCTCACACTATATTAATCAAACATCCATGTCAAAATCTTTAATTGCATATATAAAATTCAAACATATTCATGCAGTCGAAATAAATTCCCGAAATAAATTACCGAATATTGTTGCTTTTGTGGTCTTAAAAAGTAAATGTTTTCCTTTTTAATATAAAAGAGGAAAAGTGTGTAAAATCGCGCAAAGCTTCATTAATATTCTTTACTCTGATTTTTTCCATTCTACATTGACAAGTTCGCGACTTCTAACGTGCTCAAATTTGAAGGCCGAACGACGAGATTTTCATTCCTTCGCGCACAAGAGGAGACATCGTGGCCGTACGTTGGAAAAGCAGCGCATTATCGCGCCGATAGTAGAACGTAGTCGGCTTTACCTCGCTCGTACGTGCTCAACGGAATTTTATTGAACGCGATTCTCTGAACAATCGCCATATCTCTCTCGCGCGATAATAAGCAATTGCTACCATTGCGTCCTCGATAATTTCGCCGTCGACTTTTCTACGGATGAGGAGCGTGCCGATTCGACGGCGAATCGATTTGCTTGGACGACAAAATCGTTGTGCAAATAGTTAAAATGTCCGGGCGCGCGCGCGAGGAGCGTGCGACGGAAAAAGATGAAATACTTCGTAGCCGTTACGCGCCGTAAAAAAGCGAAGAGATCGATGAAGTAATCGAAGTAAAACGGGCCAGCGCATGTCTCACCACTTCCTCGCGCGCGGATAATTTTATGAAAATTGCGTCGCGCGCCACTTCGGCTCGGCTCGCTAAAAAAATTCGCGTGCGCCGGCGAGGCGCGCGCGCCTGTTGCGTCACTAGCGGTGAAAATTACGCGAGATAGACACGCTTCGTTATAATCGCACGTCAAAATAATCAACGTGACGTCCCCAAGCTCTCGTTGCGAGATGTCGTTCATTGTGAGCGCGAATATTCTCGCACGGCGGCAAGGTCGTTGAAGTAAGACTGTCGACAGCCATTACAAAAAATGAAGTATAAATTGCCGCGAAAGAGAGAGAGAGAGAGAGAGAGATTACAGTACAAGGAAAATTGCAATTTCACTGAGATTTATTCACCTTCCCTTGTGTTGCATAAAGTTTTTCCAGGAAGTACTTAAGTAACTTTCCGAGGCTATTACTTTTGCACAAACGGAAAAATACAACAAGAATTTCTCAGGATAGAAAAATCGAAAAATGTGTATATTTCATAAAGCACCAGGTGCTTGCACGAAAAGATAATGCTAAACGATAAAGCACGTCACACGATTTCCCTCGAACCTGCGAATCGCAATGACGCGAATCGCGCGGTCGTCTACACTGACAAAAAAAATATTTGAGAAATAAGAAATATTTATGCGATGAATACTGCACCGAGAAAAATATACTTGAAAATTTATTTGTAGAGTTTATAGGGCTCATTTTTGGGAAATAAACTTCTGTAAATAAATTTCCGACAAATAAATTTTCTAGTATTTTTTCTTAGTGTAATAAAATATTGCACTAATATATGTATTTTTGCTTCTCTCCTGGAAGCAATTGGTTATTCTATTTAAATAAAAGAATTTACATTTAAGTAAATGTGTTATTAGTATCCACCAGAATACAAATATCTTTTTTCAGGTATTTCTTCCTCTCAGTATAAATCGCAAAGATTCATTGGAGACTATCTCCTTTCGCGCCTCGAGACCTAATCTCACGGCTTCTCGTGTCTCTTCTTCGTAACATTTTTCATAGGCATACATCTAAGTTTCTTGGCTCCCTCCGGCTCCGAACTTCGTTCGGCTACGATATACGACTGGGAGATGCAACAAAGTGTCCAGCGATTTATCTTGTCTCTCCCATCGCGGTGGATTAAATCTGCGCGACGAATCCCGATCGCGAAAACGGATCGAGTACC